CATACAGAAAGCAATAATCGGAGTCGGCTAAAGCCATTAATACAATACTGAAACTATTTTTGTAATTGTAATAATCGGATCCAGTAGCGGTAGGGGCACGTATTACAATGTGTTTGCCGTCCAAAGCTCCTACACATCCTGGGAAATTCCATCGTTGCCTAAATCCAGATTCAACGTTTTTCCATTCATCTGAAGTTGCCGGCACCTGAAATAAATTACTAATTAATGTTTTTACTGTAGCTATTACCAACAACGGTAACTGAGGAATCTCAACAGGAACAGGCAAAACTGGACGAGTCACAATCACCATCTCAACATCAAAGTTCTGTTGACCATCTCAACGAGAAAGTGTCATCCACACCACAAATCACAGCAGGAACTGAGGCACCCAGAAGAACAGTTAAACGACAAATGCCTTCGACTGTGTCCCAGCCATCATCATCAAACAAAAAAGCTTTGCTCGACCCCCAAATAACTTTCATGTCTGGTGCCATTGAAAAATTAGAAAATATTTCAAATCGTGCTGCACTAATTACGAAAGAAGATACCTATGATCATTTCGGTAAATATGTTGCGTCAATGTTACGTAGTATTGGACCTCCAACCGCTATGAGACTTCAAGAAACAATTACTTCTTTCATAATTAATGCAATGTGCCCACCACCAACTCCATCCAATCAGTCAGCAGACCTAACAAGTGGAACAGAGTCAAACATGAGTGGTTTTTCTGAAGAATTTTTTTTTACAAAGTTATAAGTCGAGCTAAGTAGTCCTAATAAAAATACAAAAAATACTTTATTTGTTAGTTACCTTTACCTACTATAATAAAATACGTAAAATAAGAAAAAATGTGCTTTAATTTACTTACTTGTATAAATTCTCTAAGTGTCTTGTGGATAGCTTCGCAGGTCTCGGGTATGAATTTACTAATTGTGTTTTTTGGAACACGAAATAAAAATTCCAAACTTTTGAAAGAGTCTCCTGTGGCTAAATATCGCAAAGTCACCGTAAGTTTTGTTTTAGCATTTACTGCTTGTCTCATATTTGTATCTGATTTTGAAATCAGTGGTGAAACGCGTTCCAGAAGGTAATCAAACTCGGCTTCAGACATTCGTAACAAGTTTTTAAAATCCTCAGTGTAATTACTTCTTAGCTCTCTGTCAACCAAATTATGTGTCCCCGATTTCCTTTGAAGTATCCACTTTCTAACCCACCATCGTCTTTTCTTCCGTTTTTCTTTCGATTTTGCCAACCGATTTATTCTTTGTGCTAAGATAGCACCAAAAACCGAACTGACCACAGCACAAGTCTCGATAGGCAGCTCGTTCATGGTCGACTTTCCGCGATCAAGTGAATCACGTTTTCGTTAATACGAAAGTCAGTGTGAACGGTCCACGCTCCACGACTGGTAGGGTCCTTCCAGCACATACACGAAAGCAAGTACGAAAGCGTGATACACGTTCGTTTTCACGCTCCGTGGGAACGTAGCTTTAAGTTGGTCAACTTTTCTAAATTTATAGCGTCACACATGCGCAAGACAACCTCAATCAGCTGTATCCAATGATAGGCCGGTGTAAATAGCGCGTTCTAACCTAACCTCAACTGTTGTTTATTTCTGTGCCAACAAAATGAGTGAATTCGATGGAAAATTAATTAAAGATGTTGAGAACTATCGATATATTTACGATAAAAATGTCCTGAACATAAAGATAAGATATTGGTAGAAAATGACAACACAAAAACCAGTAATATTTTGTTTCTTGAGGTTGCGATTGCGTAAATCTTAGTCTCTATAAATCAATTTTTTTCTTAAAGCTAAATAATCCTTAAATCTAAATCTTTAAATTTAAATTTACAGCTAAATTCTGTATAAACCCAGCCTATCCTGACTCTTGGAGTCATTGTGTTCAATTTTGTAGTTTTTCGTTTAACGCTACAGTACACAGTGAAACAAAATATTCTCCTTTCGAACTTGTATTTGAAAAAAATGTCACATTTGTTAGCGTTCTTTTATTGTGTGGTGTGGCTTTCGTACGACAGATGGCGTGGGAAGGTTCTTGTGGTGTGCATATTTAAAAACTGGCATATATGAAGTCATAAGGTTTCGAGTGGAACAGTTTAAAAACCGTTGGATTAACTGTAACTGATTGGATTATAATAAAGAGTTGTTTAGCTAATCAGAGGAGTGAGTTTAAATAGTTAACATATCAGAAGTGCGACAAAATGTTTCCGATGCGACGACATTGAGTCATAATATGGCATCACAATGTTTAAAACGAGAAGCAGTATGCTTTTTGTGCAACCAGCCAGGGCATCAACGCAGCGTTGCCAACCCTACCGATTTATCGGTATATCTACCGATTTAGAAAGCTATTTACCGATATACCGATTTGATATGTCATCTACCGATTTTTAAATTTTAGAAAATAATGTAATTCTATATCGACGGTCAAATATAAAAATTTATTAAATTAAATTTTATTAGTTATTTTCTTATAAAACTTATTAGTTCGTACAATAGATGGCCTTAGTAGATGCTCAGAATTTTGATCTTACGGGAATTCCCTTGTTCGTTTATTCGTTGTGTAAAATTTACGTTTGTTTCACTTCATACTTAGTAGTAACATTTCTTCAAGTTCATCGAGTGAATGTGAAAAAGAAACAAAAAGTAAAAAAAATCAAATATGATCAAAAATATAAGGATGAATGGGAGAGAATACCGCAATATAAAGGTTGGGTTCAGAAAAGTAAAAAAGGCGACAGCTTTGCGCTTTGTTTACCATGTGATAAAAATATTAATATCAAAAGTGGAAAAAACGCACTTACAAAACATTCTCAAACAACCGTCCACAAAGATAATAGTATATAATAAATATATATAATAGCACGATAATAAAACAAAAGTCTATCACCTCGTTTCTGAAACCTAGCGCATCCACTGCATCTGGGGAACAGGAAATTAAAGGAGGTAGGTAATTCTGAACTTATACGTTTTATCAATGTTTTCCCAATATTTCTTTTACGTTCATACTAGTTATATGGATTTCTTTATTTTAGCGGAAATACGTTTAGCTGGATTTATTGCCGAACACAATTCATTATTAGAGTTATTAGAATTATCATTCACTATCATGGACCATCTTCCAAAATTGATTACAAAAATATGCCCTGATTCGACCATTGCTAAAGGATTAGCATGTGGCCGTACCAAAACCACAGGAATCGTAAAAAATGTGCTAGGACGCCAAAACTTTGAAGCAATCTGCAGAGACCTGAGAAACACAAAGTTTTCCTTAATAGCGGATGAATCCACTGACCGAAGTATGGTAAAGCACTTGTGTTTAGTGGTAAGATACAACAACGACAAAGCTAAAATTAAAGACAGTTTCTTGGGTTTAATTAAACTCTGTGGCTCTGATGCTTTAACTTTATATAAACATATTGTGGAATTTTTTAATGATAATAAAATACCTTACAAAAACAATATGATTGGTTTTGCATCAGATGGCGCGCACTCAATGATGGGATCTAAACATTCTTTAATGACACTATTAAAACAGGATATACCATCATTATTTATAATGAAATGTATATGCCACTCATTCCATTTGTGCGCATCTAAGTCATGCGAAAAATTACCACGATTTGTAGAGGACTTAACTAGGGATATATACAATTATTTTAGTTCTAGCCCGAAAAGGATTGCCGAGTTTGGCTAATTTCAGGCATTCTGTGGGGTGAAGATTCATAAAATTTTGTATCCTTCACAAACTAGATAGCTATCCGTACACAGTGTCGTATGTCGTATTTTGCAACAGTATGGCCCCTTACAATTATTTTTTACTGATGCAGTAGCATCAAGTGATGTTTTAGCCGCTGATAATATTTTAAAAAAGCTAAACGACCCAACAAGTAAACTATTTTTACAATTTTTAGAATTTGTTTTGCCGTTCTTTAATAATTTAAATAAAGAAATGCAATCAGAATCCCCAAAATTATACACTACATAAAAATATTACCCAAGTAATTAAATCCATATATGATTGTTTTATGAAAAGAGATTATTTAAAAAGAACGCCCATAGAAAATGTCGACTTTAAAAACCCCAGAAACTATATGCCAATTGAAGAAATCTACTGCGGAGCAAATGTTAATAAATCATTATTAGAATTAAATCTGACTTCTGACCAAAAAACAATCTTTCGATTAAGATGTTTAGATTTTTAAATCGAAGCATGTAGCCAAATATGCATCAGATTTTCTTTAAAAGATAACATCATTAAATTATTGATTATTAATTTTGTTGATCCAATTGAGGTAAAAGCAGGTTCCATCGGTAGTATTTCAAATATTGCAATTTTATTTCCGAATTGAATAAAGGAGGAGGAACTACAAATCCTTGATTCTGAATGGCGTTTGCTACGAAATGTTGAACAAGTACAAGAATTTTCTCAAGATGTTTTAAAATTTTGGGAAGAAGTTAAAAATTTGAAACAAGCAGATGAATCAACATTATTTCCAATTTTAACTAGGTTTGTTTACAATATTTTAAGTTTTCCACATTCATCTGCGAATGTAGAAAGAGTATTTTCTTCCATAAATTTAATTAAAAATAAAATACGTAATAAATTAAACACAGATACTATAACAGGATTAGTACATACCAAGCAATACATAAGTGACGATACTTGCTACAATTTTCCTATAGATCGTAACTTAATTTCGTTGATGAACAAACAAAATTTGTATACCGCCTCAAGTGAAATTTAAATAACTACTGTACGACAATTTGAGCCTGAGACGTGTCAATATCAGGATAATAATATAATAATATTTTAGTAATGTTTAATAATGTGTTTTGACATTTGTCAGGTCTCACACTCAAGTGGTCGTACAGTAAGTAGGTTTTTGTTATTAAAAAATGTTTTATTTTATTAGAGTGTTTATTTATTTATTTATTGTTTCATTTTATTAGAATAATGTTTAGTTTATTGTTTTCTTTGTTAATCTTTATACTGTTTAAATTTATAAAATGTAATAAACTTATTTAACTTTTTACTTCTCTATTATTTACCAACAAATTGTATTTTTTAAATTTATTTTTAAACCTACCGATTTTATCCGAGACCTACCGATATTTTACGATTGGAACTACCGACTTTTAGATTTGTGGGTTGGCAACGCTGCATCAACGTAAAGATTGTAGATGAAGAAAAGAAGATAGTGACAGAAGGGAAGTTCGTGTAGTAGGAGAGACAATAACGAAATACAACAGCGGTATTGAAAAGTACTTTAAGCGAATCCTATTGAACGAGAAAAAGTATGTGGCCTTAGTCGATCCAGGAAGCGCCGTTTGTACCATTCAAGCTCACTTGGTTGATGAGAAAAATCGACAGAAAACAAATATTGAGCTTACGGGATTCGGAGAGGGAAAACCAGTGAAGTGCAGCGAGAAGATAATCACCCGGGTAATAGTGAACGAAGTGTTTGTAAATAACGTGGACATTTTTGTGGTTCCAGAGAACGCTCAATCCGTGCCGGTGATAATTGGTCGATCTTTTATGGAAGCTCCGGAGTTAGCTTACGCTCGAATTAAAGACAGTCTCGTGTTTGGTTGGGATGATTCGTTGCCGTTTAGTGAAATCGGTGAACTTGATCGATCGCGACGCGAGCGTGTGGTGGCGGCTGAGGACGTTATTGTGTCTAACAATTCAATGCAGCTAATCAAAGCAAAGGTAGCGAACATTGATGTACTTGTACCAATGAAAAACAAAAGTGAGAATCCGAAACAATTTATGAAAGGTGACGCGGTCGGGATTGTGAGCGATATAAACACTATTTCGGAACAATTACCGTCGAAGGAATCCATAACAGTGGATATGCTCCGGGTAGAAAGTGAAACAAAAGACGAATTGATTGACAAATTGATGTGTAGGAACTAGGGTGCCGGTAAGATCGAAACCATATCGCGCAAATATTGACGAGAGAAAAACTATCGCAGAAATTGTAAATGAATGGAAAATAAATGGAATCGTGACGGAGACGGATTCTTCTTACGCCAATCCGGTGTTATTAGTTAAAAAGAAAACGGGTCAATCGCGTCTAGTGGTGGACTATCGGAGGTTAAACCAACAGACGATAAAGAAAAACTTTCCGATGGCCAGTTTGGACGAACATTTAGAAAATTTATAGAATGCCAAATTATTTACGACGTTGGATCTGGCACAGGGCTATCTGCAACTACCTCTCAGCGAGGCAGCAAAACCGAAAACTGCGTTTATCACACCAGATTGTACTGGTCAGTTCGAACGAATGACATTTGGTCTGACCAACGGACGAGTTTTCCAGATTGATGAATAAAGTGTTGGAACCGTTACGAAATCGAGTGGCGATGTCGTACTTAGACGACATAATCATACCTGCGCACGATTGGGAACAGATTTTTGAGAGATTGAAATTAGTGTTTGATAAACTTCGGGGAGCGGGGTTAACGTTGAAAATATCGAAATGTGAATTTGGTAGGAAAAGAGTGGAGTATTTGGGATTCATCCTGTCCAGTGAGGGATTACGACCTAGTGAGAACAAAGTAAAGGAATTTCCTCGTCCCATCAGTGTACACGATGTCCGTAGGTTTCTGGGGCTTACGTCATTCTTCCGTCGTTTTGT